TGAACACATTATAATAGGGTCCAAGTCATAACATTATTAGTACCAAGGGGACAGGATAAATAATACGAAATATTTATATAGTAAAACTTTATACTAATAATTATTTTTATTACAGAAAAGACAAAGTTGAATAACCTATTTACATAACCTACAATCATTTAAAAGGTAGACATTAAACATATTTACTTGAAAAATAACGTTTCCTAGTAGATTTCTTAGCACTTTTTCACGGATAACATAATTTACATTAAAATGTTTTTCACAAATGGAACTTTTGGGTTTAATGTTCATTTCCATACCACCTAAATAATTGCACCATATTCTGTATAACTGTTTTTTGGCATTATAAAACTGCTATCAATATGTTGAAGACTCTCTCCCATAATCACAATTAAAAACAGCTCAACGATCCACCATGATTTATATATTTTTAGATTTTAAAAAATATTTATCTGTCAACACTTTTCAAATTGCAGCTCCTACCACCTTCATCTTTTATTTACTTTCTCGCGAACCTAGCGGATTTTAGCTAGGAAGTACGATCGGTTTTATCGCCGTTTTCATTTGTTTTTAAATAGGAGTTGATACACCTTATAGTACACCGTGGAACATACACATGCCTAGTCCTCAGTTGTTGTGGTTTTCCAAATGTTAATTTGTGACGTCACTACAGAACCTCGGTAACATTGAAGGGGTTTGTGCTTTGTGGGTTAGGGCCGATTCCACCGTTGTATTAAACGGAGATTAAAATGGCATTGTTTATGTAAAAATGTCATTTTAAACTTCGTTTAACACAACAGTGGAATCGGTCCTAAGATGCAAAAGGGTTCAAGTAGAAGCAAATGAGTTAAGTGCACTTATTTAAAACTATTATTTTTAACACGCTTTTATTAGCTTCATCTGTATGTATGTTTGTTTGTAACTCTCCTTTGGACTAAAAGCAAGTGGCTTATTACTGTCAGTACATCCCACTACCTCAAGTTCGTTCCTTGACCGAGCGGTCTGAAGACCGATTCCACCGTTGTGTTAAACGAAGTTAAAATGACGTTGTTAATGTAAAAATCTCATTTTAAACTTGGTTTAACACAACGGTGGAATCGGTCCTTAATATTGTATTTATATCTAAATGCAATGGTATTACTAATTACTAGAATTCCTTCTTTCTAACCTTGAGTCCCTAAGAACCGATTCCACCGTTGTGTTAAACGGAGATTAAAATGACATTGTTAATGTAAAAATGTCATTTTAAACTCCGTTTAACACAACATTGGAATCGGACCTAAGTAGAATTATTTAAAATACTCATAATCGTTACTTAATTTTTTCGCGAGTACTCTCTAAAATTTGCAAAAGAACTCATTTGCTTTAGGTCTTTTCCTTTGCATCGAAAGTGTAGCACTGAGCTACACCACTTCTGAAAATATCGTTCCATTTATACAAATTGTATGGATGGAACGGTATTTTCAGAAGTGGCGTAGCTCAGTGCTACACTTCCGATGCAAAGGAAAAGACCTTTTGTGTATTATTCGTATAAGTACGGTTCTAAGGCGACGTCCATCCATACACATCTCCAAATGCATGAGAAGAAGTCACAATATATCCCCTATAGTAATGTAACTGGGATTCAAGAAATGGCTTTGAGTTACGCTGCGGCCAGACACAGGTCTCATGGCGCTAGTATCGTTATTGATTTTTGACTTCGGCACGTTCATTGGTTGACGACGAATTCAAAACAATCTGATCGGAGCGTTACTCACTCCCACTCCTTCTCTTTGTTTAGATACTTATAAAAGAAAGAGCTACCAGTTAATAATTTCTATTTCGAATCATCTTTCATTCTTTAGCGTTGAGTTTTTATAAGTGAAGCGTGAAGTGTCAGTGTTGACAAGTGATAATTTTTTGATTTTTTCTTCTACGAAATTTAATATTAATTTTGTTTCAGCGATATTTATTGTGATTTGTGTTGTTGTATTAAGTGCTTTCTTATTTAATATGGGAAACAAAACGTACAACAAACTCAGAAAAAGAGGAATCGAGGAGGGATTGCTATCTATGGCTGTCATCCAAGGGTCTGCGCCCTAGATAATACTTTTCCAGTGGGAAAAGCCTTTAAAATTCAAGTATAACAATTTTATGTTTCCGTTTTCCCTTCTTTTAATGTAGTTGCCAATTTTGAGGCAAGTTTGTAATAATTTTTCAGTTAATACCTACCCTCTTAATATTATAATTTAACTATGATCTTATGCTTTCCTATGGACACGATTCAAGGAGGGAGTCCTATGGCTGTCATCCAAGCCCTAGATAATAGTTTTCCAGTGGCAACAGCCTTTAAAATTCAAGTATAATAATTTACTTTTTTCGAAGTAGATGTCCATTTAAACTAAATTTTTTTATTTCACTTATTGATTTTAGCATTTATATACAGCATCGGCTAATGAACACTTTCCAATACGCTTGGCTAGAATCGAAAATAAAACTAAAGAGTTAGCGCATTAGTTCGATCAGGAAACGAATAATATGAATGTTGCCTTGTGTGCTGTGTAATATGAACAGGCACACGGTGTGATGCATCCCCACGTAGCCGGCTGGCTACGTTCATAGTATTCTATTCCTTCTCCCACTAATGCTAACTCTTTGTAGTTTTTACTTGGACATTAGCAAAACGTATTGTACAACATTCGATAGCTGCCACTGTATTATCACAAACATCTCTTAATAACTAAATGATTTCATTTAATAGTTTCTTTTTTTTTTTTTTTTCAGTAAAATGGATATGGCTAGAGTTATCTTCGTCTTTAAAATATATTAAATAAGTTTTATAATTTTTCAAATAAAATACTTTATACAATGTTTTGTTTTTTTTACCAGAGCCAATTTTTTTTCAGATCTAACCTCTATAGGTAAAAAAGTGATTTAGGTAAAATTGAAAAGTATATTACATGTTCTTTTAAATGTGTTGTTAATACAAATGCTGCTCTTATTTTAATAGCTAATAATAAAAGAATTAGTATTATTTTTAGCTATCAAAATAAAAATAGCGCCTGGATTTACAGCTCGTTTAATCGAACATGCAATATACTTCTCAATAATTATTGCAGAATGAATATATTTAAAAATTCCCGCCATTCCGCGGCTGAAAATTTACAATTTTGGCGGGAAATTTAAATTTCGCCTTTAAATTATATTTGAATTTACCGCCATATCGAGTTAGTTGAGCGGCCAGACACAGACGCATTCTTGCGCTGCAAACTTAGTGCCAACTCTTTAACAAGTGAGATGCACTACTATAGGGGATATATTCACAATATATCCCCTATAGTAGTGCATCTCACTTGTTAAAGAGTTGGCACTAAGTTTGCAGCGCAAGAATGCGTCTGTGTCTGGCCGCTCAACTAACTCGATATGGCGGTAAATTCAAATATAATTTAAAGGCGAAATTTAAATTTCCCGCCAAAATTGTAAATTTTCAGCCGCGGAATGGCGGGAATTTTTAAATATATTCATTCGGCAATAATTATTGAGAAGTATATTGCATGTTCGATTAAACGAGCTGTAAATCCAGGCGCTATTTTTATTTTGATAGCTAAAAATAATACTAATTCTTTTATTATTAGCTATTACAATAAGAGCAGCATTTGGATTAACAACACATTTAAAAGAACATGTAATATACTTTTCAATTTTACCTAAATCACTTATTTTTTACCTATAGAGGTTAGATCTGAAAAAAAATTGGCTCTGGTAAAAAAACAAAAAATTGTATAAAGTATTTTATTTGAAAAATTATAAAACTTATTTAATATATTTTAAAGACGAAGATAACTCTAGCCATATCCATTTTACTGAAAAAAAAAAGAAACTATTAAATGAAATCATTTAGTTATCAAGAGATGTTTGTGATAATACAGTGGCAGCTATCGAATGTTGTACAATACGTTTTGCTAATGTCCAAGTAAAAACTACAAAGAGTTAGCATTAGTGGGAGAAGGAATATGAACGTAGCCAGCCGGCTACGTGGGGATGCATCACACCGTGTGCCTGTTCATATTACACAGCACACAAGGCAACATTCATATTATTCGTTTCCTGATCGAACTAACTCTTTAGTTTTATTTTCGATTCTAGCCAAGCGTATTGGAAAGTGTTCATTAGCCGATACTGTATATAAATGCTAAAATCAATAAGTGAAATAAAAAAATTTTGTTTAAATGGACATCTACTTCGAAAAAAGTAAATTATTATACTTGAATTTTAAAGGCTGTTGCCACTGGAAAACTATTATCTAGGGCTTGGATGACAGCCATAGGACTTCCTCCTTGAATCGTGTCCATAGGAAAGCATAAGATCATAGTTAAATTATAATATTAAGAGGGTAGGTATTAACTGAAAAATTATTACAAACTTACCTCAAAATTGGCACCTACATTAAAAGAAGGGAAAACGGAAACATAAAATTGTTATACTTGAATTTTTAAAGGCTTTTCCCACTGGAAAAGTATTATCTAGGGCGCAGACCCTTGGATGACAGCCATAGATAGCAATCCCTCCTCGATTCCTCTTTTTCTGAGTTTGTTGTACGTTTTGTTTCCCATATTAAATAAGAAAGCACTTAATACAACAACATAAATCACAATAAATATCGCTGAAACAAAATTAATATTAAATTTCGTAGAAGAAAAAATCAAAAAATTATCACTTGTCAACACTGACACTTCACGCTTCACTTTAAAACTCAACGCTAAAGAATGAAAGATGATTCGAAATATAAATTATTAACTGGTATCTCTTTCTTTTATAAGTATCTAAACAAAGAGAAGGAGTGGGAGTGAGTAACGCTCCGATCAGATTGTTTTGAATTCGTCGTCAACCAATGAACGTGCCGAAGTCAAAAATCAATAACGATACTAGCGCCATGAGACCTGTGTCTGGCCGCAGCGTAACTCAAAGCCATTTCTTGAATCCCAGTTACATTACTATAGGGGATATATTGTGGATATATTGTGGAAGAAGTATCTTCTGTGGAAGTATCTTTTGTTGACGTGACGGATCTTGAATCTTTCTTGACGTATTCAGACGTATTTGTAACCTTAAAACAAAACAAATGAGTTGTCAAAAATTAGAAATAAAATGGTGAAATTTAGACAAAAGTAAGTAAATAGTGTCCTTAATATTTATAAAAATTAATGTAAAATTTTCAGGAGTAAATATAATGAGTTCTCGTATAATAACCTTTTTAATGGAAAAGACAGTGAGAGCGAAAGTGGAGAGGAGACTGAATTATTTGTAAAAAATAAGTTGCAAAGAGTACAATTTCCAACGATAGAAAAAGTTGTGGAGGATGGAGATACTTTACAAGCGTTAGCAATTAAATATCGATGTTCTGTAAGAATAAATAAAATATTCGGATCATGCAAATTTGAATTAACATTTTTTTAATTTCAGATTGCTGAACTAAAACGAATAAACAATTTCCACAATGAAAATGAAATTTATGCTAAACGAGTGATCAAAGTGCCTCATAGACCTTTTACTTTAGCTCTAGCTGGTGTACATTTGAGCGGTAACAGTTCACCCGAACTTAACATAAATTCTACAAGTAGTTTAATAGATATTGATTCTCTAAGTTCAAAACTAATAGAAACTGTAAAGATTCCGAAAAAAGAGAACGAAGTTAATGAAATTATTTTTAATAGTATGATTACACCAAATCAAAATGAATCTCCTGAATCGTCTGAAGAAAACTGTGATGAAAAAGTTAATTTAATTTCACAAAATACAAAGAATTTAATTGAAAATGATATGGTAAGTTTTTTTTAGAATTTAATATTATAGTAAAGGAGCTCATTATGATTTTTTATTGAATAAAAGTAAATCGAAATCACTTAAAAATAAGTGAAAAGTATTTTATTCTTTTATTTGTATATTTCCTGTATACCACCATCATTTTACAAAATTTAATATTTGATTATGGATTCCCAAGTGATACAGAACATTTTATCAAGAATAATTTTTAAAATTTACTCCGGTGTATATATTTTTTTGGACCACACTGTATAATAGAATTCACAAAAAATTATAAATAAAATTTTTCTTGTATGGGTACCTAAATTTGTATGGGATTGATTTTGAGTGTGATTAAAATTTTCAAGATGACCATATTTGAGCAGTTTGAAACCCTTCTTAATTCAACGTGCCCCAATCTCTCCCATACTTTAAACCAACAAAATATTTTATTGTCACTATATATACTATCATCAATTCTAAAGTTAAAAGAATTCAGCGATTACAATTTTTGAATTTTAGCCAAGAATTTTGAAATTTCAGCCACTGGCAAAGTCTCCATAAAAATTGAGCTATACTAGTGAGTGAACCAACACTTTGTAGTAGACTCCTTTACTATAACGAACGGAGAAGTATTTATAAAATCTTTAATTTTTAAAATCTGTTTTATTGCAGGTTATATCAAGGTTAAGTTGTAACGGCGCCGATGCAGACATATCTTGGAAGCTCCTTATAACATGTGTTATCATACTTATCGTCGCTATGCCTCTAATTTATGTGTTTTATATAGCGGAACATCCAGAGTCCTATCATCATCATGCATCGTGATAAAAACTATTTTTTACTATCAGACGTTTTAAAAAAGTTTTTGTAATATTAATTTGTTCTTGTCTATTAGATTGAATAATATATAAATTATTGTTTTTAAGATGGCCATTAAGTATTGAAACTGTAAGATTATTATTAGACTATTCTGAGGTGAGTTCCGGGCTGTGCAAAACAAAACAAACCGATTTATGATGAAATCGTGGTCTTTCCAAATAAAGACGGTTTTGTGGAAACTAAAAATTTAATGGATAAAATTTGGAGGATTAATAAAAAATGTGTTGGAGGCAACAAATTCCCTTCAAAATTTGAATTTTTATTTATTTTTCTTTTTATTTGAGGAGCAATTTATAAATAAAACACCAAATCACATTAGCTTTCTTTTAAAATAACAAAATTGTGGTGTAAAATGTTAGAACAATATATTTTGACAAACTTTTTTAAATCTGTTTTTTAATTTATTTATTGTAATTATTATCATCAATATCAAACCATTTTCAATCACTACAACTATTATCTAATATCTAACTTGATATTATATTCGAAAAGAATTTCTAAGTTAATTAACGATAATTGACGGAATTAATTCTCTCACTCATACTCATATTTAAATATTTTTTTACTCCAAAAGTAAAAATCTGATGTGTCCAACACATGACTTTCCTATCTAGTTATTATAGGCTTTTTCCGGTTATTTTGTACAACCTATTGTAGCACCTCTATAAATGTTTAGAGGATAAACTAAATTTTGAAAACGAAAATACTGAAAAATTTAAATTTATAGCACTTTTTCATTACGGTCCATTTTAGAAAAATCATGTATAAACAAAAATTATAGAGATCGATATCGCAAACAACTTTTAGTTCAACAATTTTCATAAAAATCAGAATTTTGCACATTTTGTCAAATTTCTCGAATACGGACCATTTCAGGAAATTTTGACATAAAACAAAAATTATAGATAATATTAGAAGTAACTTTTATTTGATTAATTCTTCTCCAAACATAAATAACAGATATATTCCATAAAATATAAAAACGGCCTCCCATAAAGTACCCCCCCAGATGTTCCGACTTTGTCCAAAATCTAATCATTTCACGTCAGGCCGAAATAAACCTTAAGTTTAAAATTTAATGTTTTTTTCTTTATCCGTTTTTGAGTTTTCTTCAAAATTCGAAATTTACACATTTTCTCAAATATCTCGAATACGGTCCATTTTAGAGAAATTATGTATAGAATAAAAATTATAGAGAATTATTATACAAACAACTTTTACTTGAAGAATTTAAAAAAAAAAAAATATATTTTTTACATTTTGTCAAATTTCTCGAATACGGACCATTTTAGGAAAATTTTGTATAGAACAAAAATTATAGATAATTATATTAGAAGTAACTTTTATTTGAAAAATTTTCTTCTCCAAACGTAAATAACAGATATATTCCATAAAATATAAAAATAACCACCTATAAAGTACCCCCCCAGATGTTCCGACTCTGTCCAAAATCTAATCAGTTCATTAGACGCTGGAATAAAGCTTAAGTTTAAAATTTGGTGTTTTTCTGTATCGGTTCATGAGTTATGCAAAACACACACACACACACACACACACACACACACACACACACGCGCGCGCGCGCGAAAATAGTCAAAACGGATTCAGGGGACCTCAAAACGTAAAAATCCGTCGAAAACTCGAGGTCGAAAAAAATCATGATTCCTATACTTTCCTTATATCTGTATACAGATAGGAAAGTAAAAAGGTCCTCAAGCCAAGTCCCTCCCTCTTGTAGCGATAGTACTAGTTTTTTTATTATGACTATTATTTTCTTTGCGAAGCCCCAACCAAGGCTTTGCGTAGCCCCAGGGCTCCGCGGACCACACTTTAAGAAACTTTGTTCTAAGTTATATGAATCGCTATCGCTAACTGCAATAAGGGGATTACTACTGAAAACCAAATTATTCAGTAGAGTAAACAACTTTTTACTTTCCTACCTGTATACAGATATAAGGAAAGTATAGGAATCATGATTTTTTTCGACCTCGAGTTTTCGACGGATTTTTACGTTTTGAGGTCCCCTGAATCCGTTTTGACTATTTTCGCGATGCTGTCTGTCTGTGTGTGTGTGTGTGTGTGTGTGTGTGTGTGTGTGTGTGTGTGTGTGTGTGTGTGTGTGTGTGTGTGTGTGTGTGTGTGTGTGTGTGTGTGTGTGTGTGTGTGTGTGTGTGTGTGTGTGTGTGTGTGTGTGTGTGTGTGTGTGTGTGTGTGTGTGTGTGTGTGTGTGTGTGTGTGTGTGTGTGTGTGTGTGTGTGTGTGTGTGTGTGTGTGTGTGTGTGTGTGTGTGTGTGTGTGTGTGTGTGTGTGTGTGTGTGTGTGTGTGTGTGTGTGTGTGTGTGTGTGTGTGTGTGTGTGTGTGTGTGTGTGTGTGTGTGTGTGTGTGTGTGTGTGTGTGTGTGTGTGTGTGTGTGTGTGTGTGTGTGTGTGTGTGTGTGTGTGTGTGTGTGTGTGTGTGTGTGTGTGTGTGTGTGTGTGTGTGTGTGTGTGTGTGTGTGTGTGTGTGTGTGTGTGTGTGTGTGTGTGTGTGTGTGTGTGTGTGTGTGTGTGTGTGTGTGTGTGTGTGTGTGTGTGTGTGTGTGTGTGTGTGTGTGTGTGTGTGTGTGTGTGTGTGTGTGTGTGTGTGTGTGTGTGTGTGTGTGTGTGTGTGTGTGTGTGTGTGTGTGTGTGTGTGTGTGTGTGTGTGTGTGTGTGTGTGTGTGTGTGTGTGTGTGTGTGTGTGTGTGTGTGTGTGTGTGTGTGTGTGTGTGTGTGTGTGTGTGTGTGTGTGTGTGTGTGTGTGTGTGTGTGTGTGTGTGTGTGTGTGTGTGTGTGTGTGTGTGTGTGTGTGTGTGTGTGTGTGTGTGTGTGTGTGTGTGTGTGTGTGTGTGTGTGTGTGTGTGTGTGTGTGTGTGTGTGTGTGTGTGTGTGTGTGTGTGTGTGTGTGTGTGTGTGTGTGTGTGTGTGTGTGTGTGTGTGTGTGTGTGTGTGTGTGTGTGTGTGTGTGTGTGTGTGTGTGTGTGTGTGTGTGTGTGTGTGTGTGTGTGTGTGTGTGTGTGTGTGTGTGTGTGTGTGTGTGTGTGTGTGTGTGTGTGTGTGTGTGTGTGTGTGTGTGTGTGTGTGTGTGTGTGTGTGTGTGTGTGTGTGTGTGTGTGTGTGTGTGTGTGTGTGTGTGTGTGTGTGTGTGTGGAGACTGTAAAAAATTACAAAAACAAACAAGAAATATTTCGTGTAAAACTGATTAATTATAGATCAGAATATTGACGTTTGACATTTTTGACACATTCCTACAGATACCCGTTGATCTCCACCGGCCAACTCGGGGAAGAGTGAGCGCGCTCTGAGTACGTGATCTGTGGCAAACCGAACACAAAATAATACGCGCTGAGTGCCAAAACGACCACAATTGAGGCCTACCGAGTACACTCTGAGTACAGCTAACGCCAAACCGAACTCAGCCTTTATAAGCTTACTAGAACATACCATAATAAAAAATAACAAAATCAAAAAATCCCCAAACTTAAATTAAATTTGACATATGACGTCACCACAGCAAACACAATACTAGGTGAGTTCGGGCTGCGCACTCCAGAGTGGAGTGTAGTAATTAGGCGTAAACGGAGTGCGAATATGATTTTACTCCTTTAACTCTCGGAGTGAAATGTCAATTGTCAATGTGACATACCAGTACTTAAAATTTAATCGTACTACTCAGTAACGACCGTATAAGTTTCTTCCATATTAATGATATTCACGGGAACCAAAAAAAAATTTATTTACTAAAGAATCGCTCACAATTAACTTATTATCAATTTAAATCACCTTATGCGCATGCCCGATCCACACTCCACTCCACCATCTCCGAACGGTCAAAGAGGAACTTTTATTTTAACTCCTTCCGTATCCGAACGCCTTAGGTACTTTAGGAGTGAATATAGTGAAAAGAGTGCGTAGACCGAACTCACCAACTGTAACTATTAAGAGACTGTAACCCCAGTATAAAGAACAATACAGTAGCGACAGATTGCGTCGGCTTCTTTGATGTCGGGGTGGTCAGATTTTCAATGACAGTTGACGTTTTTGTCGCTTATTTCTACACGGAGAAAAGTAAACTCTAAAATTGCAAATTAGCGATGTACACTTAGAAAGAAATTAAAACATGTACATATAACATTTTAATGTATTCTAGGCAAATAAATTAATCAAAATATTGTGTAACTTAAATAAATGAGTTCCGTTGAAAATCTAGATGTGCCAATTTTAAAATTTTATCATTAGATTAAAATAAATTACTTTTGTATGCCATTCATTGTATGAAATGTGTTAAACATTTTTTGGTTTCTTCCTGGCACTAATAAATTAACTCAGCACCTTATTTTTTTATTTAAAATGAGGTTATGTAGGTATCTTTTTAGAAGTGAAACAACATATAACAATAATATTTATTAAAACACACAATTACAAATTAGTAAGTTTTTAATGAATTTACAATACAAGAATTATTTTATTTCAATTTTTGTTCCTACGTACAAATTTTTGACTTCAGATGAGTTTTAGCAAATGCCTGTTGTAAGTCACCCGTTAAGCACAATGCTGCCCAATTGCTTATATTACCTATGTATATAATTAAATACTATTAACGTCACATCATAAAAATTAGGTGTTCATATTTAACGATTTTATGGTTTAAAATTTGTATGGGAAAGGTTATCTGCTGCGGGATTTAAATATTTAATGGCTAGAAGAATCAATAGTGACTGTCTAGAAAAATTTGTTGGGTCCATTAGGCAACAGGGTGGGAATTTAATTAATCCAACACCTGTACAATTCGAAAGGGCATTTAAAAAACTTTTTTGTCAAAATGATCTTCATTGCAATTCCATGAATTGTAATGAAGACCTGGACAAGCACTTGCTACAATTAGATGTAAAAAATATTGTCTCTCTGTATCCTGAAATAAATAAAAACACTCGAGAAGCTGTTTTTCTTCCTAATTACAGCTACAGGACAGAAGATATAATAGTTCAAAATCCAGTTAAATATGTTTGTGGCTATTTGATCAAAAAAGCTTTAGGCATACATGGATGTGATACATTTATTAAATTTTCAAAAGTATGTGAAGATTTGGATAGTTCATAGATTTTAACATATGATTGCAAATAAAGCACTTATGGAGGCCTAAAAACTCCAAATGAAAAGTTTATCTATATATTTAAATTATAAAAAAATGTTATATCTATTTTTAGCAATACCTGTGTAATGTCTGGTATATCGCATAGCTTTTTTTGATATTATGAAAGAAATAGAATTTAAACATCCTTGTCCTAATTTCCCTAACGTATATATCATACAACTGTTTATAAGATT